GTCAGTATACTGTTTGCTACACGAATCACAGTGATGGTAGCTGATTACTGAGTGTGTTTCGACTCATTAATTCATAGTCCACCTATTCGAAATTTGTCACAGTCAGCCTAGTTTCATGATTGTTCATTTGTTATGGCGAACTTTATTGACCGATATAATCCTCCTGAAACTGGAAAGTACGTTTCTTGTTTGTCAAATAAATTGAAGTAAACGATTGCTATTACTATTTTATAATGGCACAGGCTTTCAGCACCCTATCAATGATTCGTATTTAACAACTGTAGCAGCTGTGTTCCTCCTAACAACAACATTCGTCTCAATTCATCCCGACACAATACTTCTCATCCCTCCAATCGTGTCACCCCAGCCATTCCGAAAACCCAAGTAACTCACCTAGTGGCTTGGCGTGGGCATGTGTTGTTGGCCGACAATGTCCATCTTGTAAATGCCACTCGGTTTTCCTGTACACGGCAACTCCTTTTTGTCTATTGCACACCCGTTCAATCTGATCGCGAGGGCAACAACAAGCCCGTTTGACCAACCGCATTTTCCATCGGCACCCACACTCGGCATCCGTGGACCAGGCGAACTCCCGAACCGATTGTTGACAATGCCCGGCCGAACCGCACGGGTACACGTGTCGAATCGGCACGGGGCTAGTGCTGTCGTGATCTCGTTCGATTTGGTATTTGGGATCGGCACGAAGTAATCTGTGGGGCGTGGGGCAGTGGATCGGCTCTTTGTGTGTCACGTCGGAATGGATGCATATTCCTTTCGGAGTCAGTCTGGATACGGTTGTGATTACCTCGCGCGTTGTGTGATCCAAACAACTGTATTTGNGGGGGGGGGGGGGATGGTGGCACAGTGGGAAGAAGTAGAGTATGACAGAGCTCTTCCACCATATATCAAGGTTGCTTCGAATAAATAATATTCTTGCGATTTTGTGTAAAATCTTGATAAAAGTTTTTCTTTAGACGATAAATTCCTCCTGTAAATGAAGCGTGAGCTGAAAAGCTGTGAAGCACTGGACAGCTGTTTCGACCTGATTGGGTCTCATCAGTAGTGAGAATCCGTCGACACAAGTGAGGATCTCAACAAGCATACTACTCACTCCACCACCGGGAAGCCGAGATCCCCAGTCGGATCGATGGATTCGCACCACTGATGAGACCCTACCAGGTCGAAACAGCTGTCCGGTGCTTCACAGCTTTTCAGCTCAAGTCTCATTTAATCAAATAAAATCCTCTATTCCTCTCACACAAAAGATTTTATATCGAAAATTATGTACATTTTCATAATGAAAAGACTTTTTCGGGAATACAGATTGTGCTGACCGAAAAACAATAACAAAATTGCAACAAGTTGAAAAAACCTGCAAAGGTTTCTTCAGAAAAATGGTGGACCTTCACTAATGTACCAAACAGAACCAAACACATTATACTATAAAGACAGTAGCTGCTATAGCAGCACAGTAAATAAGACTACAACTCCCAAGTGCTGGTGAAGTCAAAGTTATAGTCGGGCTGGTTAGCTTTCTGGTAGATGGGATTTGAACCACACTGATTTCAAACTTATCGCTGGTGAGGCGTATGGAGTAGTCCAAGACTGGGGGATATAAAACTGCCAGTTCAACTGGCATTGAGAGAGGAAAGCCCCATTCCAACGACACATGTTCCAATGCACAGGCCAATGAAGTTCTAACTTTGAGAACAGTCCTGCAATCTTTTTGGTTGATCTATGCCTTCGAAACTCGAGACGAGGTCCTTTAGGGTCACTTGGTAATGTGGTTTGAGTGACCCACATTCTAGTTAACAAAGGACAGGTTTTCACATAATTTTTTGAACAGTTTGGGGATTTAAATCATTTTCGCCCTATCCCCACCTTGTGTATTTCAACTGAAATGTAAGCTTTATGTTCACAGAAGTTATTACGATAACAATAACAATCTAACAACAAACAAGACGCAGGTAATCATGAAAAATTGCATAAACCTTAAATACCTGTCCAACTTTCGGCTTATCTCTGGTAACTATAGAGTTTGAACCCTAGCTGTTTCCTATTAGAGTAGATATTTGTCTAGTGTACATTACTGGCCGATTGTGATGCACAAAAATATTTGCTTTATGATCAAACGGAGTTTTATTATATTTATCACCCATATTAATGCTTTAGGTATGGACAATAATTTATATCTTGTCTACTTCGATTTACGTAGTTTCTAGGTTGCATGATTGTCATTCAAACGTGCCTGAAAATAGAAGGGTTCTTAATTAAACCTACACAGATTGAGCAATTCTTATAGACCTGAGCAATAGCATTTACTCATGATCAAGTATATTCATCTGAGAATCTTCTGAGCTAGGTGCTCACACCACGGTTGCAAAAGGGAAGGGGCTATTCAGTACCCTATTCAACTTACCGTGTTCGTACCACGGGTTTAGGACAGCGACATCTGCCAGGAACTTTCCATCGTTTCACTTCACAGCGGCATCCATGCCTGTGATGTTGCTCGTACAGTTCGAAGTACAAACCGGTTTGTGGATCGCACGGCGTACGGCCTTTGTGTTCAGGATGTCCGCTGAATGGACAGGCCACTTTCCACACACGCCGAGTTGTGTGCGGTAAGCATCGAGTTCGGTCTCCAGACAATTCGTACTGGGTTGACAACTGCATGAGTAAACCCCGAGAGCTGGATTTTCGTTGGATAGAACACAGAACCAAAGAGAGGTTGAAAGAAGATAGAGTGGTGAATAATTATGAATTATAACCCGGTTGGCTTAAACAAGAGAAATTCCGGGATAATGTGTATTCTGCACTTGACATATAGTGGTCAATTAATTACTACTTCAGTCAGATCCGGGCATTCAAAACGATGAATCAAACGTGTACTTTGAGTGTTACTGTTAGTTTACGCATTGGCACGGTGGATATGAGTTACTGATTAGCTCTAGCAAGAACGAAACTTGAGTCTCTTGATGTTGGAGTGTTGAGTTAACCAATTGAACTGAGAATTGTGTGTGAAGATGAAGTTTGACGGAGAGTAGAAATTTGAAGAAGACCAAAAACAAACAACAAATGGTAGCGAGGAGGGTCACATACATAGTTATCTATCTGAAACACGGTTGGCGAAACTTTTATTCAAACTGCTATCCAATAGATGGACATACCTGTTCTTCTTAGGCCAGTTTAGTTTTACAGATGGGCTTCATTTTTATCATCCCGGTGATCTTCAGTTCACTCAGAGAGGTTTTCAAGTTTCATTTATGTATCTTTGGATTGGATAGTTATCGCCCAGAGTCCCTCATATAGTCTTTATTCAAGTTAACTAATTTGGTAATGCAAAAAACATACCTACCACTTACAACGCCGTCAACTTTTTATCAACCGCCAAAATGAATTCCGCTGTCCCAGATCCACTCGGGATCTGCCGGAAAACAGGTCACGAATTTGATCATTCGCATATGCTCTTATTGGATATCTCCAAGGTGTTTGACCGATTTCTCTATGACAGACTCCTGGGAAAAATACCAAACACAGGACTCTTCTCGCATTTGCAATACTTGGTTACGATAAAAATAATGTGGAACGATTGTAGCTACGAAACGTCGGCGAACAACACTTCCTGCTTGGAGAACACACCAACAACAACATCCACATCCCAAGCTACAATCGTTACAAATTATTTCCAACACATATGGGCGTGAAACGCTTAAGTAGGCTCGACGATGGTGAAAATTTGCCAACCGGCAATTATCCACCACAGGGCAACTGTTCTTCCTTCACGATTGTCTGAGAAGGCATGTATTGCCCCGGAGCGTCCAGTATAGACCACCAGCTGTTGAGCTGGTTGGGATCTAATAAAACAGAATGGTCGGAGAATAATTTGTGTGCTCATCAGTGATGCACACAATCGACTGATCAAATATTAACAGGTGATCAATAGACAGAAGCAGTTTTGTTCGAGTATGATGGACAGCACATTGCTAAGATGGCTAGAAAAAGTAATATTACCAGGAAATAACCGTACGAGGCAGGTCACAAGAGAACGGCTCCATAGGAAATTAGACAAAATAACACCGCAGGATAGGGAACCGAAGTCACAACGTTGGATAAAAAATTTATCCAGTCGGTTGTTATCACACGCCGAATAGTCAGTACTAATTCGAGGATTGAACCTAAGCCATGCAGATCCCAATAGCTTAGACTTCACAGCAGGAATGGAGGCCACCATGAAGACAAATAACGCACCACAGGATACCAAAGAAGCCATTGGACAAAAGATCACTGCTGCGTTGAACAGGAGAAAAAAGAAAAATGTTTTCAATCAAAAGGAACTACGAGCTACAAACAATTTGATGTGACAAGAAAATAATCATTCTCCCGGCAGACAAAGGGAGATTGACGGTGGAAATGAACAAGACGTATTACATAACCAAGGCAAAACAATTACTGAAAGACACCAACCCGTAAAAACGGACTGAAGTGAACCCAACAAAAAAGACTAAAAACAAGATCGATTAAGCGTTGAACAATTTGAAAAGGAGAAACTATATCACTGCTGTGAATCGTTTGCGAACAGCACTTCCAGCTCGGAGCTCNTCTACCCAGTAACACCAGTACTCATGATTTCTTATTTGCGAGAGTACCATTCATTTCAGTTCTGAGCGTCATTGCTGTTTTACGGTAATTGAAAAATCAAGTCGTTTCTAATACCATTATTCTTCATTGACCACCTTGCGACATTTTACCGTTATTAACTATAACCTTTTCTCTTTTGGAGCTAAGCCCCCTCCCCCACGCATCTCCCCCCATATTCCTTTGTCTCAATTGGTTAAGGTGTTTCGATCACAAGCGCTAAGTGACCTCATGGGCAGTGACTCTAAGAACGTGCAGAACAGTTGTAATCCCATTCTCTTTTTTTGTGGGAACCACGAAGCATATGTCCGATCTTGGCTCACTCTATTTTTCCTCATACTTATTGTCATACTGTGCCTAAGCTGACAAGTTTTGCTTTTAGATGAATTTCACTGATCACTATAAATCCGTAGTCTCTGAGATTATGCGGTTCCCCGCCGCATTGTACATTGCGCCCGCTGTTGTTCCAGTTTATTCATTTCTGGTAAGGAAGTGGTGTTGTGAGTAGTATTCTTGGATTGCACAAAAGAACGTGATTGGTTGTTTCTCCCAGCAGTTAAAAATGAAGCAAACCTCTTTGAACGAACTTCTACGTTCAAAATGGCAACTACGAGTGATGCGTATCCACCATCGGACTGTTCTACCAATTATCCTGTGTTTGTGAAACTTCTGAAGACATGTTGCACGTGCGACATTTTGTTGTATGCCAATTTACCGATACGGTTATCATTGTTCGCAATAAGGGACGGTCCTCGTTCAAGCATCACCTTGTGGAATTATAACAATAGTAAGGTCCCACACAAATGTATGTTTATAATTATTCTTGAATCTGATTCCTCCTGAGTTACAAAACAATCGGTCTCCATCTATATTTTCCACTTTGAACATAGAATCAGTTAATTGTGCTCATAATAGACGTTTTTGAGTAATCACTTTAAGTGTCTTGATTAAAATGCTTAGCGCTGTGGTGTATTCTACCCTGAAATAGGAAATGAAATGACTTGGCTACACCTCTCGCTCCATAGCTCAGGCAGTTTACTCAGAAACAGTTACCGTTTTTGTTTTCCAGTGATACTTCACTATTACTTTCTTTTTTAAATCGGATAGAAATATGGAAGATGAGATCTTTTCACAGTTTGAAATTTTATTTCGAGTCCACTATTCAAAGATCGACGCAATATAATCCTTAATCCATTGGACAAACTTACGGATTGCATTTGATTTTCTGCTCAGGCTTCGCACACTGACAGACGTGATAGATCAGTTTCGGTGGGTTCGGCACGCAACGACATCCCTCGGGTGAAGTGGAGAACACACGATCGATACGGACCAGGGCATGACGTTGCTCATCCGGCTGGCATTCGGTTGCTCGAATCAACTGACTTGCTGAACAATCGACCGGCTGTTGATCAATCAGCGTGTCCTGTCGAGAACAGGTTCCGTCCGCTCCGGCCAAGGGGAACCAACGAATGGAAATATGCTGAACACTGAACTGGTCCGGACCTGAGTGGATGCATTGTTTTCTGGTTGTTGGTGGAGGGCATGCTGAAAGAACAAACCCCGAATGGAATGATTCTGAATATACATGATGGTAAAATGTTTTCGACTGTGAGTAGCCCACTGAGAAGAAAAGAATCCATTATCAAATGTAAACATGATGCATATCATGTTGATGTCACTATCCAAGCCGATCTGAGTCAATGGAAGGTGAACAAGTAGTTAGAATGTGGCTTTTAGGACAGATGAAAAAGAAACAGATTCAAATGAAAATTCAATCCAAGAATATGCGAGCAGTCATCCTCTAAGTTTTCGTGTGTGTGTGTGTGTGTGTGTGTGTGTGTGTGGCTC